ACACACACACACACACACACACACACACACACACACACACACACACACAGAGACACACACGCTGTGGGAAGCGTAAGAAGTCCTTTCAGAAAAAAATCGGCACAGTAACACTTTCCGGGCTATTTCAACATTTATAATAATGGCTCTATCTACTTTAAAACAACTTTTAAGTCACAACTAATGACTCTCAAGAGAATGATAATGTCTATTCTTAGAGAAATCTCAAACTCAAAGAGTCAGGACTTAGAACTGAACAAAGCATCAAATATTAGGTTTGGTTTAAATAATCCATTAAAAAGAGAAACGCAAAATTATTGCCATAGTTGGTGCAGAACTCATTAGTCTAACAGTATTTGTCTACGTACACACAGAAGGGCCTAGTACATCCAAGGCACTCGAAATAAGCCTGTCAAATATGAAATGTTATCTGCTTCTCAGGTCATATTATTCTCTCTGCATCTCCTACAGGCTCCCAGACAAGTTTTACTCTGATATCAATGGTCCTAGAGTAAGCTTCTCACAAGAGCAAGGACTTAAATCTGCTTTAGCACTAACAAGCACCTCATACCAATTTCTAGAGGCTGTCATATTCTTAACTACAATGCTCAAAAGTGATGTTAATACCAGCATGAAAGCGTATGTGAAAGGAGTCTCAAAGTTCATATCCTCATTAAATGTGGAGTTTTGTTTCTAGTTGGTGTTTACAATAAGCGGATTTTGGAACATTCATGCATCTATCTGAAGTTTTTAAATCCTACTTTTAAGCAATTTCACTGCTTTTGTGCATGCAAAGTTTTTTAGGAAAAATGCAACTATATTTAAAATCCAAGGGTATTTTATTACATGCCTTTTAGTTACTTGCTAGCAATTTCAAGAATAAAATATGCTGCTAGTTTATTCTATCTAGACCCAGCTATGATACTGTGATGCCACTAAATTTAGCTGACAATAGCAGCAGTCAAATGCAAGGATGAAATCTAGATTACTGTCCTCGGTTTGTTTAGTGCCTTCTCTTTACAATCCATTTGTTGGGCCATCAAGACAGGCCAGCAGTAAAGACACATGCTCCCAAGACTGATGCCTGAGGTTTGAACCCTGAGACCACCATAGAAGCAGAGAACTTATAAAAATAAGTTGTTCTCTGACCTCCACACGTAAATATTTATGTAGAGTTTTCATTCTGTAGTAAGTCACACAATTTAATTTTGTTATTTTTAATTGTGTGTGTGTGTGTGTGTGTGTGTGTGTTGCATACAGTAACCTACGGAGTCCAGAGGATCCCTCTGGAACTGAAGTTACAGGTGATTGTAAGTCCCGCAATGTAGGTGCTGGGACCTGAACTAGAGTCTTCTTCGTAAGCAACCCTCACTTATAAACACGAAGCCATCTACCCAGTCCTTCATCTGGGTCTTTTATTACACAATAAAGGAGTTTAAAAGACTGGTTTAAGTTTTTAAGAGTGAACTGCCTAATATATATAGTTCCAGAACAACAACAACAAAAATACTTTAATGGATCTTTGGACTGAAGACTTGAGGACAAGTTATTCAGTTTCAAAGTATTAGGACAGACAACTTTTTTAATTATAAAGGCAGAAGTCTATTTTTACAATGGCAAATCAGATGCTATCACCTTAAACATCACACCTGAATGCCCAAAAGAATCAATATAAAATGGTTCTTGTGTCTTGAGAAGGAAGAACACAATCAAAATGTAATTTCAGTTTCTGGATCCTTCTGCAAAACAGGTCTAGACTTTTGAAACTAGCTGTGTCTTCCAAGTACAAAGAGAGAGAATAGAGTAATTTCCATTGACTGACTGTGAGTAAAGAGACAAGACTAATAAATGGAGTGGCTGCAGCCCAAAGAGGGGAAGGACAATGGACACCTGAGGAGTGTTGTAAAAAGTTAAAAAAAAAAAAATCTAAACTTCAACTTACGGACTAAAGAACAAAACGGCCTCAGGTCGTACTGTAGAACAACATTTTAATTATAAAGTTTACAAAGGGCCAGTATTCCTCTTAGTAAACGACTAGCCGAAGAAACATACCACTCTCCTTTGCAAAATTTCTTAAAAGGCTTAAAGTAAAAGTACAAAGGGCAATACTACGCGCACCACGAGGCGTAAGGCTGACGCCTCTGCCTCAAAAGCTATCTTCAACCTTAGGGCAGAAGACGATCAGAGACCGAGGTGTGAGAAGGGGCAAGGAGGCCAACATCCCCAGCTGACAGGTGACAGCCACCTGCTCCAGAATTGCCTGTTGTCGCTTTTGAAACAAACTTGGAGCTCCTTTCACCCGCACTCCACTCCCTAACCCCAGTCCGGGAGGCAGCGGCTTCTAGAACGCTCTAGCCCTCTCTCAACACTTCCTGCTCCTCACCAACTCTTGCTGAAGGAGCCGGGAGACCAGGCCGCTCACTTACCACCGCGCCCGCCCCTTGGGGGCCGTTCGGGGTCGTATCCGCCATGGGAGACACACAGGAGCCCGGGACGCTGCGACAGTAAAGAAGAGCAAAACGTCAGTGCCGGGCGACGACCCTCCGACCTGCTTCCAGAGCCGGGCGGAACCCCAAACCCCCAGAGGAACGGGCCCTCCCGGCCCCGTGCAGCATACGGCCACAGAAGTCCCCCCGCAGCGGCCGGATAATACCTGTCCCGCTCGGTACAGAGCAAAGCTGTCTTTCCAGAAAGACCCAAGCGAAGGCGGAGCTTCGGAGTAAGGCCTTAAAGGGCCGATCGACGCCGCCGGTTCCCGGGGTTGCAAAACCGGAAGTGATTCTTTCGTTTCCGCGTAAGTCAGGCGGGACGTTAAGAGTCACACAGTGGTTTCCAGAGGCATGACGGGAAATGCAGTTTTTCTTCTTGTTTTGATTCCGCCCATCCTACGAGCCAATTGGCACCAGGGAGGTAATTTTCGGCTTATCCAGCGCTCAGGCTACTTTCCTGGCTAGCTTCCGAACCTCAAAAATATCTCTACTTCCGTATATAGAAGCTTCAGGAATATCTATGATTTCTCCAAACAGGGATTCACTAGACCCTGCGATTTAGTTTCTTATTTCAAGCACTAGTGAAATCGGCTATGTGACAGATATTACACATGGAGAGAAAAAATGAACATTAACACTGACCTTCTCAGAGACAGTAGAGTAAATGGAAATCACAACAAATACGGCCATAAGCTGAGTTTATCAGGGGTTCCTGGAAAAGCTATTTCTGACGGTACAATCTTGAAGGAAAAGGAGAAGTTATATATGAAAGGGGAAGGGGGTTCCAAATAAAGGAACAGAGAATGTAAAGTAACGGAATAGTCAGGACAGTTCAGTCTGAGATGACTAAATGTGAATGGGTCTGAGGGGATGAAAGATTTAGACCACAGAGAGGCAGGGTATGTTAAGAAAAACATCACGTGGGGGCATGGGAGGGGGTAGAAGGAAAGGTGAGAGATGATGAAGTTATATTTTAATTAAAAATATTTATAAAAATTTATTTATTATGTATACAGTCTTCTGCCTGCATGTATGCCAAAACTTCTGATCTTAACCTTGCAATCTAGAGAGCCAAGCTACAACTTTAAGCAGAAGTGTGACATCATCAGGACTAGAAAGATCATGGGGAGGACATTGCACACAACTAAGGAGAACAATGTGATGACAGTGTGAGAGGAAAAAAAAAGGAAAGAAAACTTGAATGTGGCTTCCATGAGTTCATGTCTGGCTAGATAGAGATATGCAGGGGAGGGGGTCATCTGCTGAGATGCAGTGAAGAGGCATAAAGAAAAATGAAAGAGAAGAACAGAAGAGAGAGGTGGAAGACAGGAAGCTGACTACAGGTCTAGAGGACAAGTCATACTCCAACTTTGGAAGCCATGCATGTCTATGCTTCTACTATCTGAGAAGTATAATCATCTTCATGATTCATAGCAGCCAAGGTGCCAGTCAGCTGCTGCCTAGGAGTCAGAGGATGCTCTGTAGAATGTTGTAAACTTTGCTTCTGAGGCCAATGTCCACATTCGAGTACCCACAATCTCCAGCATAGACTACCTATCCCTGTCAGCTCAGCTAACGTGTTACCTTCTCTGCATTGCTGGTGTATAATTTGTCCCCTGTTTTATAATATTTATCATCGTCTAGTTTTCTTTTTAATTATTTGTCTAACCTGCCTCTCCTACATGTGTGGGTGTTGTGTGTGTATGTGTGTGTGTGTGTGTGTGCATGCACACGTGTGTATCTTGGTTCACTTTCAAAACAAATACAACAGACTGAGCACTTTAAGCAACACAACTTCTTTTTCCTCACAGTTCTAGAAGCCTGGAAATTCCAAATCATTTTATCAGCAAGATGAGTTTCATTCTAACACTTAGTGTTGCTGACTGGATCAGTGATCTCTTTAATTTTAGTAGCTGAATTTGATTTCCTTCTTCCACTTCTGTATTCCTGAATTTCCTGACTATAAGTAACTATACATAAGTAGATAACAATGCACCTGATTTATACTAAAGTTAGACCTTCAGTCTTCCTACGCTCGATAATTGCTAGATTTTCCCCTTGTTTTTCTTTCTCGTCTAGAATATAGAAATCTCAAAGGCAAATGATGTCTGTTTCTAAGTCTTTCCTCAAGCTTCAAGCAAACCCTATGACCTGATGTTATTCCAGTTTCAGTTAACTCAGTGAATACAGTTCCAGGCCATTTAGGGACAGTAGAAAATACACTGAGCCCACTGAGTTGGAGCTGAAGCTGCTCAGCTAAGGCATTAAAGCGAAGATTCTGCCAAGAGAATGTTTGCATCTTCCCCCTGATAGTTCTTTCTCTTTTCCTCTCCGCTTTCCAACTTCAAAAATTACTTTAAGCACATTTTACTTACAGGTTAGAGCAGACAGGCAATGGCATGTGTATAGAGGTCAGAGGACAATTTGTATACACCATAAGCATGGTAATTAAAACCTTAAGTGTAATGTTAATCATCACCCAACTGAGTATGAACCCAGAATTCGAACAGTAGGAGATCACCAACTGTGGAAAGCTGTCGTCTGACCTCTGTACCTATGCCATGTCGTGCCTCCCTAACCCATTAATAAAATGTGATTGTAGCACACACACACCCACATGCACATACAAATTTCTCAGGACGTACAGGCTGTCCCGGTCAGCCCATTTCCAGGCAGTGAAGACTATTTTTCCCAGACAGTGAAGACTATTCTTAAATTGACTGAGCTCGTAAAATATTCTGTTCTGGCAAGATAACAGGTCATGTGAGTAGCTGGAATTTTTGCTTTTGTAATCAAGCTCTGCTCAAAAAAGATGAGCTGGACAATGGCAAGACATGTATGTTAAAATAAGACCCTGCCTACACCTAGTCAAAATACATAGAATCAAGCGGGGTTTGCTTTTATAAACCCTGAGCTGATATAGCTAGGTGCTGCATCTTGGGAGTGCTCTCAGGAGCAAACCTGGTGCCGGGTTCGAGTACCAGTTCCAAAATAATAAGCTTCTTCTTTTTTTTTTTTTAGATTTATTTATTTATTTATTATATATGAATACACTGTAGCTGTCTTCAGACACACCAGAAGAGGGCATCAGATCTCATTACAGATGGTTGTGAGCCACCATGTGGTTGCTGGGATTTGAACTCAGGACCTCTGGAAGTGCAGTCAGTGCTCTTAACCACTGAGCCATCTCTCCAGCCCAATAAACTTCTTCTTATTAAAGACTTATTCATAGCCATGGTGAATCTCTGAGTAACTCGAGACCCATAGCAGTAGTCAAGTTTAGCAGCAAGTGCCTTTACTGGTGAGCCATCTTGATGGCCCAAGACATCTTTTGAAATACAGCGTGTGGGCTTGGAACTCTCCTGATTACCAATACAGTAATGTCCCCCTCATCTGAGGTTTCACTTAGTGGAGCTGCAAGTCAACCCGTAGCCAACCATGTAGAAAAAAATTAAACTGGAAACTCCAGAAGAGTCTGGGTGCAGTGGTGCACATCTGTAATCCCCATTCTTGAGAGACGGGGCAGGATGAGGAATTTAATAGAGTCATCCTCAGCTACACGGTGAGTTTAAGACCAGCCTGGGGTATGTGGGATTTTGTTTTTAAAAAGGAAAAGAAAACTTCCAGGGGAAGTTTTTTCAGTTAAATTGTACTCTGTTTGGAGCGATGTGACAAGCTTTGTGTCATCTCACTTTAAAACAAAGAGAATCCTCCTGTCGTAGTGTCAGGTCAGTAACAACCTAATAGCATCTACCTCATTTCATCTCCTGGCATAGGCTCAGCTCTCTCTCTCTCTCTCTCTCTCTCTCTCTCTCTCTCTCTCTCTCTCACACACACACACACACACACACACACACACACCACCTCTCTTTCTCCCCAAGCTCTCACTCTGTAGCACTGGCTAGCCTGGAACTCACAAAGACCCACTTGCCTTTGCTTGCCAAGTGCTGGGACTATAGGCATGGCCACCACACCTCGCCTAGCTTCGGATCATCCTCATGGCAAGAGAGATACAGGTACTGTGCAGTGAGATGTTTTGAGAGATCACACATGTATAACTTATGAGGAATATTATTGTGGTGGTTTTTTTTTCTATTTTAGTCTCAATTTTTTTTTTTACTATGCCTGCTAAATAAATTAAACTCAATTACAGTTACAAATGTACGGGGTAAGAAATACAACATATATAGGACCAGGTACTACTAATAATTGCAGTGCTAGGCCTCCCCTGAACATCTTGTAGTATGTCCCTGTCTTAGTCAGAGTTTCTATTCCTTCACAAAACATCATGACCAAGAAGCAAGTTGGGGAGGAAAGGGTTTATTCAGCTTACACTTCCACATTGTTCAAAGGAAGTCAGGACTGGAACTCAAGCAGGTCAGGAAGCAGGAGCTGATGCAGAGGCCATGGAGGGATGTTACTTACTGGCTTGCTTTCCCTGGCTTGCTCAGCTTGCTTTCTTATAAAACCCAAGACTACCAGCCCAGGGATGGCTCCACCCACAATGGGCCCTTCTACCCTTGATCACTAATTAAGAAAATGTCTTACAGCTGGATCTCATGGAGGCATTTCCTCAAGGGAAGGTCCTTTCTCTGTGATAACTTCAGCCTGTGTCAAGTTGACACACAAAACCATTCAGTACAGTCCCCCATGGATAAGGAGGAAAATGACTTCGACAAAGATCCAGTAACAGAAATTAAACCTAAACCAACATAGGAGAAATCAAAGGCTCAATGACAGAGCGACTGTGAGACAAAGCAGGGACAGATGACCCCTTCTTTAGTCTCAAGTAGGTTCAAGAGTTCAAATAACATCAAAGACACCTAGTCTCCTCTCAGCCTCCCCTTAAACTGATTTCATTGTCCAACTGGTTTCTCCCACACATTAGCCCATGTTCCACAAGCTCAGCAAAGAGCAGCTCATACAGCATGCCTTTGACCCGTGCTTTTTATATGACCATCCAAACTTCATTCTCACGGCATCAAATTTATTCCTAAGAAATTCCTAAGCCAGCCACTTGTCCTAAAACTTAGTCAACAAAGTTTGAGACATTCACCCACCAAGGAGGAATGGATGGAATTATTCAAGCGTGTCCCTATGAAGACAAGGTATAGATGCCAGAGAAGGCAAAAACTATACTTTTAGCTTGTGCTCTTTTTTTAAATTCATTTTTCAATGCCTGCCAATTACTTACTACTTGATAAGCCTCCCCACAAGCTCAGAGTCAATTCCTAAGGGCTACCCGGCTTACTTTAATCGAAGGTAAGAAAAGCTTGGTAAAA